CAACACGAACACAGAGTTACAGTGTCTGAAAAAGCCCTGGCAAAGCAGGCCCGAACACCAAGAGTACAAGAAAAGGGCCTCCACTTTCGCATCTGTATAGGAAGATAGACATTGTTGCATGCTTCTCTGAGAGAAGATAGGTGCTGCTTCTAGTACTCACACGCAGGATCTAGGTTGCATTTGATGATAAGGCCATGCCATATTTTAATCTGTTCCTGCTCATCTAAGCCCCTTTGGCCCAGTTAGACTCTTCACATGCAAATGACCTGAGGAAATGTGGCGTGACAAAAAATAAAAATTGAAAAGGAATATAAGGAGAGAACATGTCACTGGCAAGTGCCACTAGAACATGGGATCTTCACTATTGCCATGACAGGAGGAGACTAGTTGTAGGTAAGAGTCTAGGATATTACCTCTCTTTGTACTTTCTATGCTTCATCTGGTGTTTACACTGATCAGCCCTTTAAGAAATCTCAAGATCAACTTACTGTAACCAGTCAGCCACGCTTTGGTTACTGGCTCAGTTATCAACATAGGACTGTTGGCCCCACTATATATTTAGCAGCAACACATTTACAGGATCTTTGCTGAATTAAACTTGATTAGCTTTCCTCATCATATTTCACCAGTTCCCTTAAATAAGCCTTAACTTTTAATTAACAATTATTTTATTTTGTGGGCAATACATCTCATTTATCAATCAAGCATCCCTCTCTATCCTAAGCACATCCACTTATTTTTCAGACTCATCTGCTTTTTCATACATTTCAAACCTTGTGATGATTTAAGGATGGATTACTCAGACTTTTGTCACCTTGAATTTTGCTGCCAAATCTTTAGTTACCGTTTTTATACGATAACATCTAAATTTTCTCTGGGCAAACTAAAAGTCTACTGCCAAAATAATACTGTCGGTAAACGTTCCTACACAGAAATTGTCTACATTGCTGAAAAAAACCCAAACTACCAACACCAAAATTGGATGCCTCCCAAAACTGATACTATTAAGAAAGAGAAATTAATAAAGCTGTATAGAGAAGCATCCACTATAGTTATACAAAAAGGTATGAATATGAGCTTCTTGCTCCTGTGTTTATAAAAGCAAATTTAAAAAAACAACCAAACAAACAACAACCCCCCCCATGCTGACCAGTTATCCAAATGGCTTTAAACTCTTTCTGTAGAATCCAGTTCAATAATGATGTGCTTTTCCTTTTTCATTATGCAGATTATTAAAAACACATAAGAATTCTCACCTTTGAAAAATATTCCTCCTGCCTTGTTATTTTAGTTACGGTATAAATTTGATAACACAGGTCTCAAGAGACACAGAGGAGAGGCCTGACCTAATTCCACAGATTTCAGATTTTTATTTTGTGAGATGAATACTATTTATCTGCCTGAAAACAAAACCTGAAGAACAGAACTATGCACCTGAGAGATCAGTATGGATATCAAAGCAATTTGATTAGATCCCATATGAATTAGATTGCTGGATCATATTTTGGAAATTGCTTTATGGTATTTTGGAAAAATTTTGTTATATTTGTTTGAGTTCAGGACTAGAGGTCAGGAACTCCAGATTTTAATAAAAGCTGACAGAGACTATGCAGACAAAACTGCCTCAATATTTTTCCTCAAGTATGTCACCTGGAAAATGAGGACAATGGTGTAGATTCTTTCACGTGAGAATAAAGGAGGAGAATTACAGCTTTGGTTAAGATATCTTGGAGAATAAGCTGAAGTACACTAAACTGTTAGCAGACTTATATAGTTGTTCACCCTTCTGGCCTAAAACTATCAAAGAAAACTCAAAATCTTAAATATAACTCTTAAAGGTAAAACCGAGTTAAACAACAGAGTTAAATAAGAAAAAGTCAAATTGGACAGTGTTTATTTAGGGTAAACTTTGAATATTTTAATTACATATGTTTATTTCAGAAAAAAGATTGAGGACAAAAAAATTTAGAAAGATTACTTATTTTAAGAAAAGCATACCAGCATAGTATCATTGGGATTTTTTACATGATCAAATGATGTACCCTGTAAAATTGCACCTCTTCAGTTTACTCTATTACCATATTGTATAGCAATATTGGGCAATCATATGGAGAGAAGGGCTGATGCTTTTCCAATTCAAATTTTGCTTAAGTTTAGTTAAAAAGTGATTTCAAGGAATTATGATAATAAGAGTTATTCTAGTAATGGAAATTTACTAACCAGAAGGTATAAATTAAATTACACCTATTACAATAGAGATACTTTAGAAACAGACCCTCAAAAAAAAAAAAAAGAAAAAAAGAAAAAAAGTGAACATTGAAGGGAAAGAATGAAAAGAGAAAGAATTTAAATCCATCCAAAATTGGCTGGCAGAACAACTCTAACTGAAGCAGAAAAAGTATGGTCATTTTCTCAGCCTGAAAAGCCCCAAAAGGGACTCTAACCTAGACAGTTTGAAATCATTACAACAATCATTTGAAAAGAATCTCCTTTGTCAGTCTTATGAACAGTATAGTTCTTAATTCAAGTTAATGACTTAGGGATAAATCCTGGAGAAGAAGTAAATCCTTCAAGAAAGGCCTCTGGTTCATTCAAAAGCTATCGAAGAGCTTAGTGACAAAATCCTCTGCCCCAGTTGGTCAGGCTGCCTGGGCAGCTGGTCTATTGCAGTTAATATACATTGCAAAAGGTACACCTTGTAAAAGGACTTACAACTGGCTACCTTCCATGTGGATATTTGGTCTTTTCTTCTAGGGTATTTCAGGGGTCTTCTTTGAGGTTTCAATGGCATTGGATTTGTTCTCTCATCCCATGTATCATTCAAATAACTCAGTGTCTCAGCTGATGCAGTGTTTGGCTACTTGTGGTTTCTGATTAACTTAGCGATGCGTTTTCACAGTTTTTATGCAGTTTCTGGTTCATGATCAGACATTAATGTGGAAAAATTACTTCCATTTCATTTAACGTCAAACATTATATGACTGCATCATCATTTTAAATTACCTTGAAAAAATTGGACAGTTACAGGTCTACAGATTGCTGCCTCTGGCATGCATTACAAAACATTATGATAAACATTTGCCCTTATTTTATAACTTCCTTTCTTTCAGACAACATTCATCGTAATCAATCAGTAGACTTTTTGCTCTGTCAGAGTAGCACCTATATCAAAATATAGATGTCACTACTATGATTTCTACACTGTAAACATTGGATGTTCATTTTGAAGTTAAATAAGAACTGAGACAAATAGATGCACTTACATATTTATACTGACATACATGGTGGAACTTTCTCCAATCTTTTTTTCAAGTACTATTCTTTCTGTAACAGTACGCTTTTCAAATATTTTTCTTTATCATTTATCTGCCTACTTTTAACATTTAATTAACACAATTCCAAATTGTCAAGATAATGTGGTTTTAACCTTCCTTATTTTCTCTTGATTTGCCTAAGAACATGATAATTAGTGTTTGTTATATGCAGCATGACATTTCTTCTTTCTCCAGCAAACTGCTAATCTTTTACTTTTTTTGATAGTGCTGCTCTTACTGAATTTATTCCTTTTTAACATGATTATTTCCTTTTATTCTTCTGTTACAAGGTTTTAAACCATTTTTCAAAGTATTTTTTTCATTTGGTTCATCAGGATTCAGGAACACATATACCTTGTTTAAAGTTTTGCAGTTCTTTGAAAATGTCCTTTACTCTGTTTACATTTCTCTTTAATTTTTATGTGTAATTACTGTATCAAATGTATTAAAAGGCAACTAAAAAGGTATTTCCAAATTAATTGTAACATCTTAATTAATATCTATACAAAAATTTGGAAGACAGTCTAAAAGATACTTACTGCTCTTGTCACATGATCCTGCAAAATGCTATATTTCAGCTCATTTAAATGTGTACTTTATATGCTATTTTTTATCATCAACATTTTACATTAACTTTAGCTGCTGTGTCATGTAATACTGAATCACAAATACTTAGGAAGTGGAACTAAATTAGTCATGACTTTTTGCATGCCTTTTGTGATGGGAGTTCTTGTGCTTGAGCCTATTTGGACACTCTAGAAGCATTTCCATTTTTCACAGCTGAATAGCTCCATAAGTAAATTCTAGATCTTCAATTCCCACTCAGTGGTTTCACTTTTTTCAACTGTAGTTGTTCCACTTTGCCAGGAATTGTTGAAGATCTATTGAAATACAATGCCAGAGCTTCCACAGCACCTATCAACCAGTTGTAAAAAAACAATTGTAGTCTGTTCTAGCTAATACTTCAGTTTATGTGAGGGAAGGATAGAGGAGTGCAATGTGGAGTAAAAGAGAAAGACTGGAAACAGCTCTTTCTTTTCCCAAGGGCGATAAAACTCCTGTTCAACTTTTGAAAGCTTCAGGGTCCAGTTCTTGAGATAGGTTCAAGACTATGAACCTGATGTGAAGGGAGATGTGCCTTGAAGCCCAAAGGAACTGTAAGAATATCTTAAAGGGTGGAGATTTAAGGTACAATAATTTCTCATTTAACTTCTCTGATAGTGTAGACACCTACTTACACTGTAGACTGATACAGATATTCTTTATTTTCCCCAGGCTCCAGACCATTACTTATCACTGCACTGTAAAGTTCCCTACAGGTCAATATGCTCACAAATGAGATGTTGTAGCACAAAGTTCAAGTACTTAAGTGTCCTTTGTGGATCTAATCTAAAGTCGCTTTTGAAAACAGGATTTAGGGCTTCTGACACTTTTACCCTATGTGTCCTGGGGTCACGTGTTGACATATAAGGAAATTAATTGCCAGGTCTCTTGAGCCCCAGTTCCCCCATGTGATCACAGGATGCTTCTCCTCAGCACACTAATTTGGTCAGGGCGTTGACACCACTATAATGTAACAAAAAGGACTCTCAAGTTTATGCCCATTTTCCAGACATGAACTTGCCTTGGATACCTACTGCCTGTGCAAAGTATGTTTATGTACATGCTTATTTTTATCTTTTCCAGAAATTCCTAATAAAATAAACCATGCTGAAGCCAAACATCTTGCAGACGCCTCAGGGTCAGACAAAACTGAAAGAACAACAAAGAGGTCCAGAGTATCAACCATAAGGCGGATATTTGACATGGCAAAGCACCGAACAAAGAGGTCGTCCTTTTTCTCAACTGGTGTGAAAGTTTGCCCACAAGAATCTGTGAAGCAGATTTTAGCCAGTCACCAAGCTTACTATAGATTAAGAGGTAAAATGATTATTGTAGCATGTACTTCCTCCTGCAAAGTCTTTCTTTTAATTGAGGAAACACAGTAATTTTCCAGAATCTTGTTCTTCACCTTTAAGCAGTGTATGTGCTATTTGTTTTATGGTTTATTTTTACCATAGATAAGCATAACATAGATAAAGTTACATGTGCATCAGCAGGGTTCAAGACAGACAGTTACCAGAAGAAAATAAAAAAATGCACTCAAAGGACTAATGAATTTGGAGTAATTGCATAATGTTCTAGCATGGCTGATCGTGAAGACCAAACTGTGCTTGCATTACTGTGTAAAGATGTACCACCTTTCTCATAAGTGCAGCAGGTACCATCGTTGCAAGTCTGAATTAATCCCACCAGTTTAAGACAAACAACGAAAGTATTAATTGGTCATTGCATAAATACGTTGGTGTATCCGTAGATACAGTAAGTCTGTAGCAGTGTTAGTATACAACAAACACTCAGATAATTGTCAGCAGGTCATGAAAAGAACTTAGTCTTATTTTCAAAAGGTCTCAAATATTTCTTCTACCTTTTCTCAACTAATTCGCTCTCTCCCCAGCCCTTTTTCACTTCCCTTCCCCATAGAGAGCCTATAGAGTTACGACTCCAATTCTAGGTCCCTAGAGAGCACGGTGCAAATAGGGTCCTGGTTTTCATATTTTCTCTCTTTCTCCCTCTATCCCTTCCAGTCTTTCACTCCGTGACTGTTTCAATTTGTATTAGAAAAATGCATATTTTTGCACTGCAGCTAGACAGTCCAAAGCTAATTCTAAATCTAGTCAGCATTTCTGGAATGCAAGTATCCAAGGCAACATCTGCTCTCTAAATCTCCTCTGCTTACCTGTTTTTCCTCTATATTGGTCTCCAGCCATTCACATACACCCATGTGACTTGGCTCCTCCTTGGCTCTCTTTTAGATAACTCTGAAATGAAACCTGGATGTAGAGCTGCAAAACTTTTACTCCAGCAGCCACTTGCTACAAGCAGCATAGGAAAATTACACCAATGTCTGTAGCTATTCCTATAGATACAAAAGTATTTGGTCTCCATTGTAGCATCCTATGGGCACTAGAGAGAAATCTGAAATGTGTTAAAGAGGTTGATCCAAGAAGCATTTCTTAAATTCAAATTAATCCTGAAAGTCCCTGAAACTTACCGGTTACATCCCAAATGGGGCTGAAAACAAGCTGTCCTGAAACAGGTTGGTATCATTAGCTTGAACTCAAAGAACCGTACGTATGACCCTTTCTTTTAAAAAACTGAATATGACAATACTACCAACTTTTTGGAGAGCAGCACATCACCTGGACTCTATAAGTGTTGTAGTGCAGGCAGGTTTAAACTTACATCTCCTTTTCCTCAGCAGTGTTCTACACTCACAAAATTCTCTGAACAGGTGTCATCTAGTTCTTCAGCTGAAACCTGAGTACTTCCCCAAAAAGGAAGCAATCAAACAGATGACTGCAGCTGAATAATTTGTACACTCGTTCAGAAAAAGGTGTTTCTACTCCCTTGAATAGTTGCACATATTGCATTACAGTATCCTTCATTAAAACCTCAAAAAATTTTTCCTGCAAAGAAAGATCACAATCCTTGAATCTGTAACCACAGTACAAGCCTTCATGGAAAGGTAATCTGGTATCCATGCTGGAGCCTTACAGCCTGTGCCTATCTGTGGCACAGTCTTACCTTCATTTTGTTTCATACATATACTTTCAGGTCCGTTCTTTTCTGTGTCTAAAGTCTAGGAGATCACTTCTACCCCTCCAAGTCCCATGACACATTTAGAACTGTAATAGCACTGTGGATCATATCAGTCTTCTAGAGAATTTTTCTGCTTTCTAAGAAAAATTACACCTTTTTTTTTTTTAACACACACAAATATACTTCCAGGAATGAGCACATGACACAAAAGAGCTCAAATATAGGAGCTCAGACAGTTTCTATTGGATAACCTGAGGCTACTGTGACCCTACACCAACTCTGAAATAATACACTATAGCATAAGTCACAATGAGGACAGTCCCTCATGTGGGGCAAACTGGGTGAAAGCATGGAATCATCTACAACACCTCCTCAACTGGTCATGTGTCACGTTTATCTGGTAACTGGATTACCTATCATCAGATAGTATATCTTTATTCAGCAGTTGCCGCTCAGAGAAACAGATACCAGAGAGTTGCAAGAAAAAGAGGATAGAAAGTAGCTTTAACTGCTAGCTCATAATGAATAAATCTCCTCAAAAGACAGCCTGTTCCTTTTTAATAGTCTGAGCACATCTGCTGCACATGCAGCTGCTCTACGGGGAGGGCAGGTTGCTCCTGAGGTATTATTGAGGGGCTCTAACCCAGCTGGGTGAGTACATCCCTACAGCAAGTTTAGAGTATACCTAGAGAAATGACTGCACTAATTTCAGAGTCATCGATAATGCAGATAATGAACTCACTCTAAGTCAAAGTAGCTATCAAGTACTGAAAATAAATGACCCATCTCACAGTAATGAGCTTTGCAAAGTAAAGTGCTACAGGCAACAGCTTTTAAATTGCAAGTTTCTGTTAAAATGGTTTTTCTAATAAGTTTGAAAATTCCTCTCTCTAAAAGCATTTAATTTTAACCAACATTTCGAAGTGTGTTCCTTCATTTTGAGTGATGAATGTGTAAGCGTGCAAATACCAAATCACTTTTAAAAGGCTTTCAAGTTTACTTTTTGGTAGAAAGCATCCATCCCCAACCCCTTTCTTCTTACTCAGTCTGCCAGGAAGCTGTGTGGGAAGCCTTTCGTATTTTTCTGGATCGGATTCCTGATACTTCTGAATATCAGAACTGGGTTACTGCCTGCCAGAGGGAAACCTTTTGCATATTCGACATTGGCAAAAACTTCAGCAATTCCCAAGAGCATCTGGAAATAATCCAACGGGTAAGGATTACTGACAACGGGTAAGGATTATTGTTTATAAACTGGGAGAGACTTCCAAGTCCCTCCCTATCTGCTTATTTAAGGGCAAAGTATTGCTCAGGAGGAGGAGGGGGCATATCTTAGAAGAAAAATATACAAGGATAGTAAAAAAAAGAGCTAACAGGTTTCTGCTCTATCTGGTTGGATACACCCACTAGTAAAATGCTGTTTTTCTTAATCTTTTTGCAGCGAGTGAAACATAGAACCTTCCAGGAAAGGTAAGTAGCACAAAGTAGAACCTTGTCACTTGTTGTTACTGCCTTTTTTAAAAAAGATACGTGTAGATGTGTGTGGATGTGAACAGATATACAGAAAGCATTGTGGTGTATTTGGCGTGTGCTGTGAGAGGTGTATACTGTATGTACCATAGTACACAGCAATTGAATCACAAGTAATGGAGGTGGCCAAATGTCTGAGTTACCTGTTCACTTCAAGACACCACATAATGTTTTCTCAGACTAATGTGAGCATGAAACTCTGTCAGAGACATGGCTCTGCATTAGACCAGTGTTGATTGGGAGTATGACAAAAGTTGCTATATAGTTTCTCATATAGGAAAGTCCAAGAGCTTAACAAAGGTTTATCTGAGGGGCTTCATTAAGCAATAATATAAAAACTCTATGCCTTCACTTTAGCCTTCTCCTGTATTTTTACACATCATGACAGTGTCAACTAATGTGATACTTTCTTCTACAAACTCTTTGAAAGAAATATGCTTCTGGCAACACTCAGAAGTCTGAGAATGGCAGGATTAAAGTTACAATACTGAACTCTGTCTCTCTGCATATAAATACTGTAGTACACCCAGACAAATCATTGTCCATAACTCCTCTGAATAATGTATTATTTTTTCCTTCAAGTTTTTTTGATTTTCAGGACATTTTCAGGCAAATAATATTTTGCATTCATAAGTTACACTGTCTCATGATCACAGAGATCTTATGTATCTTTGTTCATTCCAACATGAGAGATCTGAGGGCTTTTTCTCAGAAATGTATTTGTAATAATGTAGGCCCTAATTAAACTCCCCTGGAAGGCCAAAGGGAGGTCTTTTCATTCAGTCTAGTGCAAACAGCAGCAGCAAGGCATTAAGTGACTGATCTCAGAGTTCTTAAATTCTTGGTCAACAGTATGGTTTTCCCTAGAAATAATTGAGAAGATGAAGTAAATGCTATGAAATTACTCGTATTTTAGCGGGAAATACAGCCAGCCATGATTATGCATGGTTGGGCTTCATCTTTACTATTATGTGGCTTGGGAAACATTTTGTATCTTCTGCAGATGCCACATAGATCAGTCTCCAGTTAAAACACAGCACATAACTAGTTAGCATCGTGAAAACATTATAAATAGTACTTTTGTTCTCACTGCATAAGATATCCAGAGGATGTGGTAAATCAGTCGTTGTTCATGTTCTTTATTTATGTTATTAAACATCTCGGTTGGTCCCGTATAGAAATGTATCTCATGCACCTTTTCTGTCTACACTGCAGGCTTTATGCTATCTCAGTTAACACCACATCACACATTTACAACACCCTTATTCTTTCACTCATACCAGTTTTCACAAATACGGCATCTGTGTGCACTGTAGAAATTTTGAGGAATTCTATTCTCATTTATTTCAAAGAGTGTTTTTTTTATTTTATGTTGTGGGTTTTTTCCACACCCTACTTAGAACTCAAAACAATTGAAATTCTTTGCACCCCAATTTCAGGAAAGAAAAATCTCAAAACATCCCTAAGAAGATTCTTATCTAAAAATCTAAATTTTCCCAAAAGCTGAATGAATAAAAATTTGGTTTTAGAGCAGAAATTATTCCATAACCTTAACAGCAGGAATATCTAATACATCTATAATAAAATGTACTTAGATATACATACTAGTTCTGCTTTTCAGGCAAGCCAACAGTTGCAATTGCAAAAGGTATTCATTACCTCATGGCTGTAAAACTTACAACAGAAAATAATATCAACAATACAAAACCAAACCCTGTGATACAAGGCAGACAACCTTACATCATACCCACCATACTCATTCTTGGGTTTTCAGCTGTCTTCCATGGGGACCATGGCAGGCGTTAACCCATGAACATTACATCTCATAGTAATCTGGATCCAGAAATCTGACTTGAAACTATCATTATTTGGAAGCATTCTTATGATATTATAATGCAGGCCAACAACTGAAAAATAAATACATCCATCCTCTCCTCAAACCATACCATATAAAACTCTCTTGGTACCGTGAAATGTCCATTGGTCCTAAAATTAGGAGAGGCCCAAAGCTCTCACTGAACTATATTGACAGGATGAGATATACCAAAGGAGACAAAAGTTGGTTTAGATGGTGTACAAGAAGTCTTGCTTTCATTTTAGACAGTGGTCTACCATTCCTTAACCTCAAAGGGAAACAAAAACAGACCCAGTGCACTGATTTAGTTTCTGTAATCCCATCCCCCCAGTTGCATGGATAAATCATTCATGAAATCTCATGAGTAGATTCCTAACAGGACAGATAGTCCTTGGTGGAGGAATATATCAAATCAGTATTTTTGTAAGAGCAAATATTCAACTGAAGTAGAGGAAACGAAATACATGAGCTGTTGAATAAAAAATATGATCTACTGTTCCACTGCCTGTTTAACCAGCTTACAAAATATTCCATTAGAAATAACTTCACTCATTTAAACCACACTTCTGTATTTCTAAATTTTTTTACACTTTTTTCATTGCCAGTACAGTATGGATATAATTAAATCACTCATTTATTTTTGATTGATAGGAAAGATGAAATATCCGCAGAGAAAATAGGAGGCAAAAAGGTGGAAGAAATTCCTTCCATTTCTACAGGTAAAATCAAGTCTGCTTTTTGTGTGTCTCTCCTTTAAATAGAATTGCGAAAGTCAGTCATTCTTAGGTCTTAAAAGGCTGTAATTTAATGAATGCAGTAGAAGCATGACAAGTTCAGCGAAGTACGATGAAAACGTTTTTAACAAAATAATCTTTATGAAGCAACTTTTATCTCTTTACAGCATGTCTGCTACTCAAATGTAGCATTCCAAGTTGACTTTTGCCTTCAGTCACACACATGCAATGCTACTGATGTTTGACCTGGAAGAATGTCTATTGTATAAAACATAGCAGCTTTACCCATGCCATAAGTCATGGCCACCTTCCAGTGGCACAGGCTTGTGCTCAAACACGCCCTCCTTAAGGAAAGCTGCTCCAGTGAGCTGACACCTGACCAACACAGAAAGGGGAAGATTTTTGATGTGCAAACTTGTTCTTGCCTGACTTTTCTTTTAACCCCCCTGCAGGCTCCCCTGGCACACCCCTCTCTCCATATGCACCTAATGGCACGCTGCTCAATGAAATCGTTAACGACACGAAGACTCCTGTGAAGGTCAGGGCAGCCTGTTTTCCTATCCCATTTTTTCACTCACCTTTTTTTTTTTTTTTTGAGCTCAGCTAGAAGAAAAGAGGAAGAAGCCTTATAAACACTTAGTGCTTCGAAACCATGAGTTCTCCCATCTGTTTCAGCCAGTGGAACTGAAGGGGTCTATTAGCATCTGTTCTGTACCAGAGTAGGGCATGATGTTTCTCAAGTATGAGGTAGAAAGTATACAAGTATGGAAACTAGCTTTTAGGAAGAGTCTTCATTCTTTGAAGGAGGGGCCTGTTCCCTATCTTGTGCCATTTTGCAACCTTATTATTCAATAAATAACACCAAAAAACATACCTTCTAGGGCTGCCACAACACAGGAGATAAGACTAGCCCTTCCTTGCCTTTTTCTGGCCAGACAACCAGCTATCAAAGAAGCACCTCCACTGCTATCTCTTCAGAGCAGCCATGCAACACAGCTCTGGAAACTACCCCATCCTCCACAGGTTTACAGCAGCTGACACCAGCTACCTCTGAGAGAGGGGTGGAGTGCTTGGAGGAGTTGTTATTTTCCCTATCCTGGCTGCTAGAAAGGTAGTCCTGGTCTCAGCACAGCTGTGTGGCCCCAGGGAACCTCTCTCTGGAGGCATTATGGGGGAGGACCCTGCTTCTGAGGAGCCTTCGCTCTTATATTTCCTCTTTGTTTTGCTCTGAGAGTTTTTCCAATCTGTAAAACAGCTACTTGAAAAACCTCTTTTTGGGGGGTGGGGGGGTGGTGTGCATACTGACTGTAGGAAGAGGCTCATTTGGGGCCAGGAGTGCTGGGTGAGGCCTTGCTATCACACCCCTGGCAAATCACCACTGTTCCCCATCCCACCTATGCAAGCTCCTCAGCTCCAGCACAGGAATTGCACTGGCATGATCCCATATAAATGCTGTTTTTACTGCCCAAAATTATTACATCTTTGTAATGTAAGAAAGCAAAATAATCTTTAAATAGTCTCAACTTTCTATTACCTACCTGTATCTCAGATCTTACAGCAAAAGAGTGAATAGAAAATGAGGGAATAGTGGTTTTAAAATCACTTATTTGTGATGTTTGAGATGTACCAGATGATTGTCATTAACCAGTTTCTCCTTGTTACAGATCTCCTTATTCTTTCTTACCCAATCCTCTATCATCAGCTCCCTAAAGGTTGGCTCCTCAAAGGTCATGGGGCAGCTATGTAGAAAGTGCATATTCCCAAATCTTCCATTTATATGGTAGAACATTACAGAATGCTCTTTCTCTAACTGATGAGCCACATTTCTAGACACAACACAAAACATACATTCTTCTAAAACTGAGGTATCCTGAGGAATGATATAGCAGAGCTGAGTTTTGCAGAATCAGTGGGTGCAGAAAGTGCTCTCTCCTGTTTCACTCCACATTCTGTGGTTCTATTATTAACATCTTACTTTCTCTCTTATCCCCTGCCACTGCAATCTCACTTATTTCTTGTTCTGCTTATTTTTGGAAGGTATTAAAGCCTAGGTGTTATGTATGGGACAGATGTCTCTAGCAGCCTTATGCCAATTTACCTGGCAGAAGAAATGGAAACTTCACCTCGCTGTGAGATTCAGACTGATGAGCTTGCTGCTCTTTTGGGCCAGTTTCTTCTTGACCTTGTTGTATTTGTTTGTATTTTCTCCAAGGTGCAAGAAGTCTGGCTGAGAGTAGAATTACCCTTGAGCAAATAAAAAAGATAAAATCGTGTTTAAAGAATACAGAATATCTATGTATTGCAAATAAGTATGAACATGCAACGTATATGCAGTACATGCAGTAAAGAAGAATTTGTTTTTTGTTCTGAGATCTTTGTATTTTTAACAGGCTTTCTTTGGAACCCTGAAAGATTTTATTCATTAAAAAATGTAATAAAATACATTGGCAGTGAAATGCAACGATGATATGTGTTAGTAACAAGATTTGTGAAGAAAGACTTAGAGCTTAGTAGAAGGCAGGAGTTTCCTGGGTGAGCTCTCTGCATCACCTCTTCAGGTTCTTGCATTCCAAGACTTGAAATTTGAAGCTCAGCTCTGTTTGTGAATAAGGAATGAGAGATACCTTCTGATCTTAAAATTAGCAAATGTAACTTTACTTTAATAACTTTATATTTAGGATGAACTAGGAAATCTTTCTCAATGCACCCATAGCAACTTTGCCCCTTGGGGCAGCACATCATAGCCTACAAATGAATTGACACTTGGAATTTAATGTAATTAAAGAACAAAAATTAGTAAATGTAAGGAAAAACTACAAATACTGTTGGGAAACAGCAAACAAAATGAGTACTTTTAACAGCAGTAAAGTCAACTGCAGAAGAAAAGTGTATCACAGGTAGGGCTAATTCTAATTTATTAACAGAAAACCCAAATGCAAACTTCTGAACATGAAACAGTAACAGAGAATCTGGAACTCTGCTCTGACTGACCATGGGTTTTTTGAGTGTGGGATTTCAACTAGCTTGTAGAATTTTCTTGTCATTCTCCTTGATGTCACACATTGTCCTCCAAAGTGGCAAGTAAAGCTATATGACTTTACAATGATGGAAGTAAGACTTGGAAACAGTCTGTATGCAAGAAATGGCTTGATTCTCTTCACCTTCATTTATGCATATCAAAGGCAATACTCAAGTTACAATAGTACAAACTTGTTTGCAAAGAGAGAAGAATTAAGCCAACATATATGTATAGAAACTGTTATCTTTTGTAGAATATGGTTCAGAAAGTTATTTTGGGGATGGGCTTAAAAGGGAACCTAATCTACCTGTTAAATACCAACATGTTGGGGAAAAAAAAAATCACTTAGTTTTATTCCTTCACTTTTTTTTCATTTCTTCTTCTTTTCCAGGAGCTGGGAACAAATGCAGTTCCTGAACTCCCTGTGGAGCAAATGGTAGAATTCAGTGTAACTCTCACTGATCAGGAGTACACAGCTGAACTTAGTGATCCCAACTCCCCAGAGTATCAACAACTAGCTGCCAAATTTCAGCTACAGGTAAGGAGGCTGAGTGAATGCAAAAATGTTGACTTTATATCTTGGCTGAGGTTCATACTATAAACCTACCCTTACCATGAAATAGAATTAGACTCTACTGCCCTTACTTTGAACAGATAATTCCTGTCATCTCAAGACCTTAAGTTTTTCCCCTCATTCAAGCTATCTGTTCAGCCACCAAGCTAACAAGCCGAAAGCTTTGACAGAAATAGAGGCTCAGATAACTGATGAACAGAATAACTTTAGGAATATCATTCAGGCTTAATCAAGAATTCATGGGCAGTACTTTGTCATAATTTAATTTCTACGATAAACCTAACGAGAAATGTAATATAAATGTTTAAAGTAATTAGTTACTGTTGTCTGAACCATTTTTCAAAAGACTTGCACTCATTTTGTTGTGCATTGACATAGTTTCTGTAAGAATTGGAACATCTGTAGTGTTTTCATATAATTAATAATATTAACTGAATGTTCAGCTATCAGTTTAACAGCAGATAATGACTTGAGGTTCCTAAAAGGTTTTCTTAGTAAATCAACTAAAGCTTCTCATCAGTTTTATGAACATTCCTTAGTGCAAGTTATTTTGCTTTCCTAGTTCAGTTCCAGATATGCGTAGAAAAATGGCAAAGGATGTGCTAGCAGAGCTGATAAAAAATGTTTTTTCTCAAGATTTCCAGTATTACCCTCAAACAGAAGTGCCCGCAGACTTTGTTTACTAACTATATAATGCATCTTCTATTCAAAACCATTTAATCATACACTTGTTAACATTAAAGTTAAAAGTATATTGTTATTCTGTTTGTACAACATGGTTAAAACTGTTTAATTTATAAATGATTTGTCAAATAATCTAAACCCATCTGCATTTGGTTAATATTTCTAAGTAATTAACAATTTACAGGTGATTTGAATCACAAAACTATACATGAACCAAAACTGCTGAAAAACCATTTGATTCATGTTATTTGACTTGCTCTCTTATGATCTAGATTATCACTGATTTACGTAATTACCGAAAAAGAGCTATATTTTGTGCTTCATTTTGCCTGTTAACAGGTAATATAGCCAGTATATACAAACCAAACACTGTAAACTGAGCAATTATGATACCACAAAGAAGGCAGTTGAGACTGTTTCGTAAAGCTCTTTCTCAAAAATAAAAAATATTGTCTAGGTAGTCAACCTGTGCTTGCCTTTTAGTTATAGATCTTACACTATATTAATTTTTTATGGTTTTATATAGATGAAAAAAATATTTGAGAAACTTCCGGGATTCAAAGAAATCCGCGTATTAGGATTTAAGTAAGTAAGAAAACGGGGCTCTCTTTTCTGTTGGCTGCTAAGGTTCTTCTGTTCCTTCTTGTCCTTGAAGATGAAGAGGCCTGTGGACTAGTGTGGGGGCAGAGGAGGGGAGGAGCATGTTGCTGTATATAGAAAAGAGTTTTATGGTAATACTATGGAGACAATATGGCAAGAATTGCAAACACATTCCAAGTGAGACTATGAGGTTTTGAAGTACTAAATAGAAGTAGTTTTGATTCACTGAGAGGTGAAGGATACAATAAATTCTTTGAATTGTTTGCTATCAACCCTATATTAAGGACTTTTTAAAATTACAAGGTACAGAGAGTTAGAAGTACAATTATTTAGGTGACTACTTTTTTGTGTGTGGATCCTGTGCTGTTCATGGATCACAGTGAAGAGAGGGTTGCAGGAGGCTACATGTCTCTACACATAAAACTTTTCCAGTACTTGTTTTCCAGGTGTTTCAAACAATTTAAAATTTTTATTTTTTTTTTAGTAAATTTGAGTTCTGTCTTTCAATTTCTTTTAGTTTTAGCTTCCTTGTATGTTTATTACTAATACAAGCTCTTATGTACTTTTTCAACAGAGAATCTACAGGGGAGGGGGAGATAAAAAAATGGGTTATGCTTCTACAGATAAGAGCACATTGTGTAAAGGATTAAATGAACAATAACTAATAGTAAGAAACTATACAAAATTGAAAAGGAATAAAGAGCAGGGAGAAAAGACGTAAATTTATGTGGGCTTACAGCACCGCATCAGAAACATTCAGTCCTTCTAGTAATATTTAATACATGTTAAAGAATGCTTATATTGCAATGTAATTTTAGACAAGAGCATCCTTCTTCCTAGCATTTCTCTCTGCAAAACTGCTGGGAGAAAGGAGAGAGAAAAGCAAAATAGACTGAAAATTAGTTGCTTATATTTTTATATTGAAATCAATAAAACAAAGAGCTGCCACAGAAAAAGCAGAGAAGTCTATAGTAGCATCTCCTAGTTACAACTTGCAATAACTAACCCCTTTCAGTTATGACTCCAGGTCGGGGATCCATTTCAGTTTAGTATCTTGGACTTAGAAGCTGATATGAAAGTATATTCATCAATATGGAAGACCAGGATTGATTCCCACCATCTAGTAATTTAGTTAACTCCTGAGAGGTACAGATCAGCAAAGACAGGTGTTGCTGTCCATTCTCCCTAAGCCATATTAGTGTATATATTAGCAGCATTTCCCCCATGACAACATTATAAATATTCTAGAGAATTCATCAGGGAAAATAACAAGGCATTATATACAGAAGGTCAACATAGGCATGTCTTCCAGAGGTAATTAATACTTCAAGTTACCCCTGTACCTAGAGTCTCAGTAGGCACCGCGTATGATAACCGTAATCACTGCTACTACTGCCACAGGTGTTCATTGCCACCATAAAGACAGAGATTAGCACAGACAGTGCTCAAATTGGACCATTTGGGGTGGGAAATAGGAAAGCTTATATTTCAAACTATCATGGTGAAGTAAAATTCCTCTCTCCCCACACAAAACATGGTGACTACTATTGTTTGGAAGGGAAAAAGTGAACTGATGAAGAGTAGACTGTCATTTTCACACAGAGACAAAAATTATAGATGGCACGTACAAGATAAGATAAATTGTCAAAAGATGGTTATGATGTGTATGACTGAACGATTTACCAGTATACATGAATCTTTGTTTTTCTTTCTTTTGCAATCCTTTCTCAAACCCTTTCTTCTGTGATGAAATGAAGACAGAAGAAGGAGAAAGATGGGTAATCTTTCTGTAATGCTTAATTAAGATTAATAATTTTATTGACTAATTATTAATAATGATTATTAATCCTTTTATTATGTACATAGATACATCAGTAAATGTTCTTTATCTTGATGTGGCAAAGTGAATTGATTATGTTCTGCCTAAGAACAAAATCTGTGATGTGAAGCAGCAGGGACAGCTTTTACTTTTATCTGAAAGGTTCATGTAATCAAATTTTGTCAAGATCTCTCTGAAGGAAAGAAAATATTTGATCTAAGAAAATTCACATTCAGATGACTGAAGAATTTTATCAGTCGTATACTGAAAGTGAAAAATAAATAGGGAAGCTTTATATTCCAGTTTCATTTTTGATCTGTTGTTTCCTAGCTGTATTCCCATATACACATTATTTTCAATGAGTACATAGAATTTGATTTGTTATCTCCATTGTCAAGCCAAATAGAAAAGCAAAGAAGCCAGTTACTAGCTTGATAAAATGCAGGGAGTTTTTGAGTAGTAATACAAACAGATGTAGAGTCTATTGTTGTTGCTGCTTAAAAGTGCTCCTGGGGAATAATTTGTCTAGCAGTTCCCAAAATTTCTCTTTTACTCATACTTTAAAAGGAAGAATTGTCTACTGTTTTTCCTGAATTCTTGCAATGTCATAGAAATTTAAATATATAGTACATACTAGATAAAGTGAAATTCCTTTCTCTACAGTTATTTGATATTGTAAAAAGCAACATAGTATAGAAATGTTTACAATGTACTCATTATTTTTCATTTTAATTAGGTGATAAACATTTATGAAAAGTCATGTATTAATAATGGTGAACATTTGAGACTTCCATTGAACATCTAGGGAGAAGCTATAAACACCCATTTGGAGTTGGAAGAGCTAACACCCCTTGTGAAAAGTGATTTGCTTGCCACATTAACTAATTTTTTTGCTGTTCTTTGAAAAAGAGTAAAAAATTGCCTCAGTTGTGATAAGATTTTTGCTTATCTGCAGTTTTATGGACTGCCTAACCCCTTTTCGGAGGATCCTGCATAATGTGTGATTATGGCTTCTGGTAACTCCAGCATGCATTTATGGCTGTTTGAATCAGTAGTCAATGACTGATCAGTAGTCAAGGTTTCTGAGTAGTGAGATTAAACTGTATTATATTAGAATATTTTTACAATTTTCTTCATAATTTGAATTTCTATTTAAAATCATGAATAGAAGAAAAAAGGTATAGCAAAAGTAATTTGAAGGTGACAGTCTGGTTAGAAGGAAGTAAATCTGCATCGCTTTTACAGAAGATAATATGCTATGGTTGCATATTTGTTTGTCTGTAAAATTGGTTCTCAGTCAGTAACTGATTTTGCTGCACTGGGCATTTTTAACTTTCCCCTTGCAGATCAAGCAGCACTATAGCACGGTATGTGGTGAACTTTGAGAGAGATGGCTCAGAAATCAAAAGCACAGCAGATGACATCTCAACTATTGGATCCAATAAAGTTGAAAGTGAAAAAATTCCAATTTCTCCAATGGAAGAGAGGGAGATATCAGGAACTAAACTCACAGTAACAGACCTTCAGCAACTGGTTGCCATTGCACTCCATGAAGACCAGTCCCTGCCAATGGACCTTGGGACACTTCAGTTTACTGATGGTTAGTAGGCAGGCAGGTGCCAGACACAAGTCTAAACCTTGCCTTTCCAAACTGATGCAATTTCAGTAAGGTGTATTTCACTGCTCTAAAAGATTGTTTTCATTTGATATAGCCTATTCTCTTTAGTGTTGCATGGCATCCAAAGGATGCAGAGATGTAAGTTAAATTTTATAGCGAAGTGTGCCTCTACGATTATACAGCCAAACATCCAATCATATTAGAGGATCTATTTTTTTCTTTCTTTGTTTAGAAAATCTGGATATTTTGCACACTAAGATAATTAAGAGGAGAAAAATAAAAGAAATACTATGAATATTCACTGTATCATTTTAACTTCCCAGTATGGACAGTCTCCTCTCTTTAGCAAGACAAAAAGTGAGAGCTTCCTCCAACCTAAAAATTAGGCTTTCTGAAAGTTCTGTCTTGATTGTAAGCAAGCCATCTAAGCTCTCCATGAAGTCAGAGAGACAGACACTTTAAAGAGCATTTGGTCCCAAGATAAAATCAGTAAAGGTGTGTTTCACTCTGAAACACAGAGGGAGTATAGATGACAAGCTGGGTGTGAGGACCTCCAGCAGAAGGTTGAAGGTCTGCACCCTGTTCAGTAATCCAGATAATAAATATCCCCTTCTGGTCCATCAATTATTTTTGCAAAACCAGCATATCCCTAATTTTGGGGAGGTGGGTTAAAAGGTGGGAAATTATTTAAAATAATTTTTCATATGTGTATTTACCAAAACAATCTTAAAACACATACCAAATTTAACTATAGTGTTTAATTTGCAAACAGCAGCATTTTCTTGCCAAAAAAAATTATTCAGATGAACTAATACTTTCTGTAAGAATAAAATGTCATATTTAAACGTAGATTCAAAGTCCCCACAAAAAATAGATATTGAACACTTCAATAATGTATATTTTAATCAACTTTTTCCCAGTCATTATTTTTAATAATCAGTTTTAGAAAAACAGCTGTTGTGCAATGACTTTTAAAGAGCTCCTCTGGGGGGGTGAAGGGACCAATGGGGCACTAAAGCCAAAACACTGACGTTAACAATGGTGTGGACTCTAGGTAAAACTGAAGTAAATTTAGGCTTAATGAACAATGTAATATAATGAGTCACCATAATCTATGCAGATTTAACTGAGGGGTTCATATTTCAGCTGATTTTAAGCATTCCTCCATTGTTCAGCTCTCCACAGACCTATCCTATTTATGCTAAATAAAGCGTACAAAGAACAATGCATATAAAATTCTGATTTTCCTCATAATTGTCAGGTTGAATGGACATTGGCAGCTCACTCTTCTTAACATGGATTTTAAAAAGTAATTTTTCAATGGAGAACAGTTTAGTACTGGTTTTTACTGGCCTTATGTGTTTTGATCAGTTTTCAGTGTGTCGGTGTTGAAATGTTGTTTTCTCTCTCTCTCTCTCTAATGTTTTTGATTTTGTTTTGTTTTGTTTTGTTTTGTTTTGTTTTGTTGGGGCTTTTTTGTTTGGTTTTTTTTTTGCAGAATCTATTATACCACCTAGTGATTTTGATAATGATATCCAAGGCATGGTCACTATTCCTCTGGCAGGCCCTGATTTGGTAAGTTAATACTGGTTGTCGTATTTATTTATTTTTCCATGGAAAACAAAATTAAACAGTGTTCAGATGGACATAAATATAAAAAAAACACCCCCGTTTCATGTGCTAACATATCTGGTTTTGTACTTGCTGTAAGGATGAATGTTGTGTTGTTATACTGCAACAGAGATAGTGTTTAGAGCATTTACAGATGAATATTGCTGCCTGATTACCTTTTCCAATTTTAATTACAAAGTAAGCAAGGTCTTAGTAGTTCAGTAGTACAGAGCAACTGACAGGGATAATGAAGGCCATTTTTAACATTACAGGCAATGTGATTAGGATCACACGCACATGCCAAACATTTTATACATCTCATGACTTCATAGCAGCCTTCCAGTGTCTGAAGGGGGCCTACAAGAAAGCTGAAGAGGGACTTTTCATCAGGAACTGTAGTGATAGGACAAGGAGTAATGGGTTCAAACTGAAAGATGGGAAATTCAGGTTAGATATACGGAAGAAATTCTTTACTTTGAGGGTGATGAGGCACTGGAACAGGTTACCCAGAGAAGTTGTGGGTGCCCCAGCCCAGGCACTGTTCAAGGCCGGGCTGGATGTGGCATTGAACACGGTCTAGTGGAGGGTGCCCCTGCCCATGGAAGAGGGGTTGGAACTAGATGATCTTTAAGGTCCCTTCCAACCCAAACCATTGTATGACTCTATGTTGACTTAGCTGTTTGCAAGTTCATGTGGCTAAAGATTATTGGCCTTTTTAGGAATAAAACATTATAATGAAAGCTGCTTTTCTAAAATTTTTCAGGAGGAATCTATGAGTGTGGAACTCCCACTAGGTTACCCCAGCCCAGCAACAGTGGACCAAATAGGAGACACCTTGGTTGATGAATTTACAACTGGAAGTCCTGCTCTAAGTGAAGAAGAGATCAGCATCCCTGAAGAATTTAATAATTTTATTACATCTGAACCTGAGTTCCCTACCAAACCCTCCAGAGAACCATTTCAGGACAGATCTCTACAAAAAGTTACTGACCAGCAAAGTTTAACAGTGCCTTTCAGTCCTCTGGGGAGCACTAGCAGTCCTCCAAAATCAGAGGTTTCCTATCTGCCTCCTCCAGCAGATGAATCTGCTAGCAGTGGCTTAATCACCGATGGTTATGAGTCTCCAGTGGAGCAGGCTACCACAATGGCAATTTATACCACGGGTAGCTTTACCCCACCTAGTCTGCAAGCCAGAGATGAGGATAGTGATCATGAGGAGAAGACAGAACTGACTGATATAACAGAACCACCTTTCAAGGAAGCTGACCAAGACATTCCGCCTGAACAAGGTAAGACACAAAAGATTTTTATGAGAGAGTGTAGGAGAGATATATGTTATGACATGCAGTCACGTATTGGCACAGCAAGCATTCCTTTCCATTGTGACAGGAAATTTTTCTGGACCATCAAAGGTGAAAAATTTACATTTCTGATGCCCACTTCAGGAAAATCCTAATGTAGCTCACTTCAAGGTTGTCAAAGCTAAAAAAACAAAACAAAACAATACAAAACCAGCCTAACCCAACAACAAATGTCTAAGGATAAGGCACACTTACTACAGAGTATTAGGGTAAAATTTCAAAAAGACAGGGCAAAAAGATATGTCAGGGAAGAAAAAAAGGTATCCAAGGCTAACATAAAAAAATTGGTATTTAAAACATGGAAAATAAATTACTTTGGGCTCTACAGTCAGTTGTGGATGACAGCAGGAAGAATATAATGAAATAACTTATTCAGATTTATTATTCAGAAAAGTTTGCATATCTACATGTCTGATCAATGTGAAAAACTTTTAAAAAATTCTGTTTTCTGTGTTTGTTTATTCAGTTTTATCCACACAGTAGGGTTTTTTAGAGGCACCCAGCTACATGAGAAAAAAAATACATATTAAATAAAAAAGTCTATACATGTGGAGAAAAGTCTGTATAATGTAGCCTTAAAAAAGAAAAATACATGATAGTTATACTTCCCACAGTTGACCCTGCGGATGAAAAAAACTTCAGACAAAGCTATTAGGGTCATTCTTAGGGCACAAACAAATTATATTTTTCCCTGGAACAGCAGAATGACAGTAAGGCTACTGCTTCCATCACTTCCACTAGCCACTCAGAAAGCCATACTAGGCACTGTGGAGACCTATGGTGTGCAGGTAACTAAATTGTGTGGGGCAGCAGCCTCCACTGGCAAAGAAGCAAGAGCCACGATTCCTGCAGTTGCCCTCCATCTCTCCCAGCTCTTGTCGGCTCCATGTCCTCTCCTGCTCCCTGAACTGGCCTTACCATCTGAGCATTAGGTCAGTAAATGCAAATTTTACTTGCACTTCAAAGCCTGTGCTAGCCGTCTAAGATGCAAGAGGTCACTATAGACACACGGGAGGAATTAGGTCTTGGATGACTATTCATATGTTCTTTGTCTCAAATTTTTGACTGACCCTCCCAAAAGAAAAGCAGAGGGCAGGTAAGCACTTCATAAGGGTCAGCAGGACTCTCTGATGTCCCTGCATAGTCTCTAAGCAATACTAAAAAAAACCTGCAGAGAAAAATGAACTAAAGACAAATTCAGGGCAAAATTCCCAAATGTGCATTAGCTCACACAACACACTTGTGTTTCTGGATCCACAAGACCATCATGCTCAACGCTTGCAAGTTTGTTCCCTGCTGCAGGAGAGTTTGTTGTTCCCTTAGGAGGCTCTACTCTGTCCCTGTTCAACGAGCTCTGCGCTTGCCCAGTCCTTGGCCTTTCATGTCCCTCCCTGCACTCCAGATGTCTCTTGAAGTGAGCATAATGAACCCTCCTTCCACTTTGAAGATATTCTTCCTGATCCAGCATGCCCAGATACATGGGCATACCTGTACCCCTGCTGCCCAGCCACATCCTGTAAGGCAAACACTGTTTTCATAGCTGATTGGAAACACCCCACTTGCCTGTTGATAACATCCTTTACAGTGAGCCCACGTGGCAGAAATATGAGAGTGGGGAATGCCCATATACCATACTGTCTATGATATTGTTTGTCTGGATCCAGCAAATAACAAGACTGGCATTTTAAAGAATAAAGGATGTAAAAACTGCCACTTGGGAACATACAATAATGAGCTCTGGACTTGGAAGAGCATAACATTCCGTGGTCATGTTGTTACATGGTAGTTTATGCACTGAGTAAGAACTTCCCATTCTATAATCTTGCCTTTTTCACACAGAGTTATGAAGTGAGAGGAAAGCAAATACTTTATGATTAGCAGAGTGAGTTAAAGATTAGAAAATCACTTCTTATAAGAATCAGTTGTCAAATGTTCCTGAAAATAAAGTTTATGATAAAAAACATTAAATGCAACTATTTTCAAATTCATGCTGAGAAGTCTTGCAGTGCTACTGATAAAAGCACAGCATACATTCAAATAGCACTCATTATAACCGTGGAAAAGCATTACATTTGCAGGGGAAAGAAAGTCATGCATTTTTCATTCTATTCACTCGTTGCATTAAGGACTTGATATCATAAACAACACATAAAGCCACATATCTGTTTCCCAATTTGCTAAATAGCTGAAAAACCTTGTCGCTTATCGGCTCCAGATGACTGAAGAGAAGCAGCAGAGGATATATGACTCACCTGTGATGACCCTTTAAACACTAAGAAATTGTTGTATATATGGGTTAGAACATGTCAATCTGCAAGAGAACAAACTGTCTAGAGTTGTAAGAAAAAAGATCCTCCCACAATAAGGTATACTATCTTACACAACTTATGTCTAAAACAAGCACTTGAGTATATGAATTCCACCATTATTTCTGCAGCTGAGTAGCAGAGGGAAAATAATTGTCCTTGTCTAAAAAGAATGGATGCTGTATTAGCAATGTCTCAAAACTGTAGTTATTATTTTTTTTTAAAGCTTATAGTACACAAAACATGCTGCATGCTTAACAGTCAGGAGACCTGTTGAAAACTATTGAGGTTTAAAATGTATACACTTTAGAACTTTTTCTCTTTTTTAAGCTCTTCTCAATTCTAGCAGTCCTGTGTACAACATCTCCTGTATTTTTTTGTTTCCCTATATGTTGCATATTTCATAAGAAATGATAGAATGCGATCTGGAAATTCAGGTTTTATTAAAGTCACCAATATTGGTGCTATTAATTTTCATATGGCAAGCAGAATTTGCCAGGCTCAGAATTTTTCACTCTTTGTTCCTGGCTGCATTTCATAGCTGCATTTCTTAGTAATATTAAAAAAAAAAAAAATCTTTTAACTATTACTCCTGTGAAATAGCAAAACTACTCTGACAGTGCTTTATGAGGTTGAACAGAGGTTTAGGGTCTAAACAGTTGCCTGAAATTCTACTGCATTGATTTCCAGCTATTTCCCCACTCTACTGTCCAGTAGATGGAGCAAATTTTTCTTAGTCACATGTTGAAAACTTTAAATTCACTCTTCTTTGCCTTGAAAAGAAGAGCTGGCTATCAAAAATAACATAGTCTGAGATTCTTGTAGGTATCAGCTCTTCTTCATGGATGGACTTTATTGCATTGGTTATCACATGTGTGCAACTACAGGCTGGACATTACTACAGAATTCTGAATATTGAATGTCTACAACCTACACAACTACTTTAACTGTGCCTACCCAAGGTAGCAAATCAAAGCAATGAAAAAAATTCTTTCACACCTCCCAAAAAGATAATCAGACTCGGCCTCCCACACACAAATATACACAAAGTTCTGCATACAACGTCTAGAGAAAGGAGAGTAAAAACAGGTGAGGGATGAAGAGTCAAACTAATGAGAGGTGTCCTTTTAAGCCATGCAGGATGGGATTTGTCAGGCTTGGGCTGCCGGTGGGAGGAATGAGCCAGGAGCATGTGTGAGGCTTCCTTCAGACAGTGCTGTGCTCACTCTGCACAGTGATGTTGTCCACGGGCAGTAGAGAGCAGGTCAGTGAGGATTAGACAGACATGCTGGCCAAATGGTCATGGCAGTCACTCCACCCCTTGGAGTAGGCCAGAACTATAAGGAAGATGCCAAGCTGTCTTTAGAGTAAGCCTACTGTTCTGAGATTTCACAGTAGAATTGAAAGAAAACCATAACACAAATTTCCAGACCTCTTATTGAAAAGTTCTGAAACACCTGCATCAGATGTTGTGGTTTAAACATTTGACTTTTCAAAGGGTTTTTCTTTGCTCTAGCACCTCTAAAATCTCCGCTATTTCTATTTTTCATTTATAATCAGAGTGAAAAAAAGCTTTTTTTCCTACTGTCAGAATTGATACATGTTCACTCTTATCTAGCATTCCTCTTTCTTCTTCATATTTTTTTCCCCTCTGGAGTTAAAGCTCATTAATATACCTTCTGTATGGTTAACTTCTTCCTTTTTTTGCAGTCTTCCTGTAGCTCTGTCTAAACCAGTATGACAATTCAGAAAGGAAGCCCTTTGTGTAATGTATTAGGAGGGCTGTTATTTCAAAACCTAAGCAAATTTCAGCAGTAAAAAAATGTAAACAAATATATAAACAAATAAAAGAGTTCATAATGTCTGCAAGAACAATAATGATATATTTTGGCTTCCTAAATGGTAAGAAGAAATTTAATTTGTATTTGTTTTAATTGTAGCTACTAATGAATTGTACAGTCCAGGTAAATGGTTATCCCAAAATCATCATGACATCATGGAGGAGGCATTATTCCGGGAGAAGTTATTCCAGAAGTGTAGGACAAAAAAAAGCTAGCAGTAAAATCGTTCAGCTATTCAGTTGTACTGCATCTCAGTCTCTTCAGCCTGGGTCATCCTCAAGCTCTCAAGAAAAACTCTGAGATGAAGACTCTGCAGGGTAGACCACAGGGGTTTTTTTCTGTGAGAAAAAAACATTGATGAGGAGTAGATGGTGGTCACATTTCTGTATTTGTAACTGATAAAAAGCCTAATTAATTGCCTTAGTTGCTCTCATGTTCACACAATCTTGTTGTGAGTGGTACCCTTTAATATTTTCTTCCTACCCAACAGTTAATTCAGTGGTGCACACTTCACTCACTATTATTTCCAAGTAATATTTAGAAAAATTCAGTTTTCTCCATGTTCTCTTTCTGCTTCTGGTTCATCCTCAGCTGCTTAAGCACTGTCTTTGCTTAGCATAACTTTCTATTTGGCATAACCAGCATTGTCACAGAAAAGAAAACCCCATTGCTTGTTGCAAGAACCTCTCCAGATGTTCCCAGGATTGGAATCCACTCATTCTTTGTGTCAGGAACGCTCATCATTTCTTTCACATCGATGGTTATAGAGGGTAAGAACCCT